AAAAAAAAAAAAAAAGGAAAGAAAGAAAAGCGAAAAACCCTGGTTTGGCGCCCAAAGCACAGTGGTTGCAGTGCCAGCCACATACACCAAAGGTGGCGGGTTCAAACCTGGCCTGGGCCAACAATGACAGCTGCAACCAAAAAATAGCCGGGAGTTGTGGCAGGCGCCTGTAGTCCCAGCTACTTGGGAGTCTGAGGCAAGAGAATCACTTGAGCCCATGAGTTTGAGCTTGCTGTGAGCTATGATGCCACCACACTCTACCGAGGGTGACATAGTGAGACTCTGTCTCAAAAAAAGAAAAGTATTATGTACCTACAGTTGTTAAATTTATAGAGACAAAGTAGAAAGGTAGTTGCTGGGGAATATGGGGAGTGGTTGTTTAATGGGTGTAGAGTTTTCATTTTGCAAGATGAAAAGAGTTCTAGAGGTTAATTGCATAATAGTATAAATGTATGTAAATAACTGAACCATGCACTTTAAAATGGTTAAGATGGCAAATTTTATTATGTATATTTTACACACTTAAAATTTTTTAACAGGTTTTAAAGTCAATGTTAAATAATGCATAAAATTTGGGTTTATAGGTATACACTACTATTTAAATTAACATGTAAGTATGTGTGGACAAAGACTGGTGAAGAGCCAAGAGTAGAGCTAGACTGAACTGTCTGAATCTGGCTCTGACATTTACTTAAGTATCAGTTTGAACAGCTTACTTTACTTTTTTGTGTCTGAGTTTCCTCATCTATAAAATAGGGGTAATAATTGTGCCTCTCATAGGGTCAATGTGAGGATTAAATAGTAAATACATGTTAAAGGACTTTTAGAGTATGTGGTACTAACTAGACGTCAGCTGCTGTTGCTATTTAAAATATCCTGTTGTGTTAAAATTTATTTATTTAGAATAAATTTAAAAATCACGCCTATTAAAGACTAGCAACATGTGTATTGCTTATCATCAACGTCAGTAATTTTGTGTTAAGTTTTGTATAAGTATCCTAAAATATAATTTTTCTAATGTGGAAAAAAAAATCATGCCTATTGAGGGATTAGTGTGTGAAATAAAATTCAGTATCTTGTCATGATTTCTGGAACCCTTTGTCAGTGAGTTAATTTATCTGACGGACTGATAACAACTGAAGATATCCCCAAGAATACTTTTTAGGTAGGAGGAGAATATAGGAGGGGATATATGAGATCTATTTGTCTTCTTTGAAGCTTTTACAATTCTTGTGATTTCTACTCATGAATACAAGACTTCCACACCATGTTCTTTCATTCTGTATGTATAAAATTTAGAAGTTTTAAAATGTATAATGTGCATTTGTTATCTTATGCTTCAGAATTTTTTTGCTTATGCTACTTGTCCCTGATGTAGAATATACTTTTCATTAAGGCCCAGGTAGAATGTTAACTGTCAGGCCTTTCCTTAGTCTTCTTAACTATGATTAGCCCTTCTACCTTTTAGTTTACATAGCACTTCTTATTTCTATTAATGTATTGAAATAATTATAAACATGTCTATCCTCCACTTTTTTGTGATCCCATGAGATGGATACCTTGGTTTTTTTATTTTCTACCACAATAATTTAGCTGTTTAGTTATTAAATGGGTATCTTTAAATGACAGCTTCTATCCTACCTATCTGAAAACTAGAATTATTGGATAGCCTTTAGGATAGTTTTAAGTAGATAGTACATATTGATAGTACTAACAGGAAAGAAAAAGAAAAATTAGTACTATTGGTACTGATAGTACTAATAGAAAAGATTCTGTATGTTTATAATTTGTTGCTTTATATTGATTAGTTAAGTAAAATAATAAACCCCTGTATTCTGCATTAGAGACTGGGAAATACATAGATGAGGATGCATGGTTTCTGTCCTTGAGCAGTTATTAGTTTTAATTAAGGGAAAATGGAGGTATAAACAGATAATCGCAGTGTACTTTAGCAGTCTCTGTACATAACGGAGATTCAAAAGGGAAACAGTGATAGTGTAGCAGAGGGAACACTGAAGTCTTTTTCTGCTTGACAGGTTTACAGGAGAATATACACTTAAAGAGATTTGAAGGGAGACCGTGGGTTTGCCAGCTAGACAAGCTGGGTAAAGCATTCTAGGTAGGAGGAACAGTATATGCAAAAGCATGGAGGAGGAAGAAAGCTTGCCAAATCAGAGCACATGGTTGGTCAGTTTTTCTGGACTTTAAATGAATGTAAGAAAAGTGCTCTTAGACTTGGTGCCTGTGGCTCAGGTGGCTAAGGCGCCAGCCACATACACCCAAGGTGGCGGGTTGAAATCCAGCCCAGCCCGCCAATCAACAATGACAGCTGCAACCAAAAAATAGCCAGACCATTGTGGCGGGCGCCTGTAGTCCCAGCTACCTGGGAGGCAGAGGCAGTAGACTCGCTTGAGCCCAGGAGTTGGAGGTTGCTGTGAGCTGTGATGCCACGGCATTCTACCCAGGGGGACAGCTTGAGGCTCCTGTCTCAAAAAAAAGAAAAGAAAAGAAAAGTGCTCTTCAGCTACATTATATTTAAAGAATAACTATTTGACAATTAATGGAGGAACTATTTAGGAACTTTTTATATGTATTTTACTTATATAAAATGTAGATTAATTGACTAGGAATTATCTATTCTAAATTGTTAGTTGATTTTTCTAGCTTACAATGTTACTTGAAGAAAGACAAAAATATAGTCTGTTGATAGAAATATCAAATAATTTTTCCTCAGGTAGGTGGTTTGCAGTCATTTTGGGAACATGGGCTTTATGGTCAGGCCTAGTGGAGATTCCTGCAGCGTGACTTGTCAGTCTCTCTTAAGCTTCAGTTTCTCATAGAAATTGTTGAAAGTTAAATGGGAAAATACTTGTAAAGCACTTAGGATGGTGCTTTATAGTGAATAATAGCTCTAAAGTACTTCTTTAGCACTAAAAGCTCTACTACAATGCTTGTTCCAGTTAATTGAATTATTTGGCTAAGAACATCCTTTTAGATCTCTAAAGTGTATCAGAGCACTTTCCATGCGTTATGACCTAGAGCATAGAAAAAATAGTTGAATTTTCATCAATGATTTAAGATCCTGTAGACTCTTACAGCAATAATTTAAAACGATGGTTCTTTTAGAAACTGTCATCTAGAAAATTAGACTAGAATCTGACTATAGAGCATGAACTGGCACTTAGTCGCATAGAGGAGATTTAGGTTTGCATGTCTTTTGGCACTTTGTATGTGTATATACTTTGCTTCTTTATCTCTCTGTCTCTTTTTGCAGTTTTTGGCCGGGGCTGGGTTTGAACCTCTGGCATATGGGGCTGGCACCCTACCCCTTAGAGCCACAGGCACCACCTATCTCTCTCTTTTTCTAATGTAGGAGTTTGAGATTATGAACCTTTTCCCTAGTTTTCTATTGGCCAAATACCACAGATTCTTCAAAATGAGTGTTTTCGCAACCTTTTCTTTGGGGCTATTAAATTGGGTTGAACTCTATTAAAGTCCCAGCTAGGATTTTTTTTTTTTTTTT